TTACTTACTTACTTACTTAGGATACTTAGACGACCCGTCCATCGGCATGGCGGTTGGCCTTGCGCGGGTCCCAACTTCTCTTCCATTGTTCTCGATCTTGAGCCTTAGTTGTCCAGTGAATGATCACCTTAAGGGATACAGGATCATATACGTTGTTACGATATGCCAGAGAGTCTGTCCAACGTACAGGAGGACGGCCAGGCGGTCGTTTCTTTTCACGCAGGTACCATGTGTGTAGATTAGAGCTCCAAAACCCTTGCCTCATGCACATTCTCAGACACATTCAATTGTCAATTACGAAGAAATGTGAATAGTGGGTAATGAAACTGACTGTCGGGGCGCAGGTTCCAACTTCGAAGAAAAAGCAACAAAACCCCTAAATAATATCTTACTTTTCGCAACTGCTGTTGAGCATTGTAAAAGCACATGGTATAGCGATACTGGACGAGAAAGCAGACGCTGAAAGGACGACGGATGACATAAAATTTGAAGCGGAATCACTTGTGCACCATAGTACCCTAACGTGTTTTCTACACTTTTGAGCCGCGAAATGGGTGCGATCTCTACAGATTGGTCCACTCTTCATTACACTAAGAAAGATTACTTCAGTCACCTTATTGTGGGGTGTGAATTTAATTGTTTTCTTCTCTCAACATGATATCATGTGAGGGGGCAGGAGCTTAAGGAAAAATAAAAAAGGCTTATGCGCCACGGGTTCTCCTCCCCCGCATGGAGGTTGGTCCCGTTTTCAACGAAAATGAGATGTCTTATGTGGTTTTGTATGCAGTGTCACTACAATGCCTTCATGTCTTTTGATAGCTCCGGAATATCAACATACACCAAATTCAAGCGTATTCTTACACCAGGAAAACATGGAACTCAGATATACAGGGGGAGGCAAAAAAGTCACGCCTATCCACATTCAAAACAGGATTGAATTACACTTCGTCAAAACCAAACCGAATGAGCTCAATTGCATATTGAAGAGCACATTCTATTCTATCAAAATTCGATTCCGCTTTATGGTTTTTTGATATTATCGCAGTTGCTTTTTGAGAAATTTAGTTACTTCGCACTGCTAGCTCTTCAGGGTTGTATTATTATTATAGTTTCACTGAGCAATGGTAAGAGCTTCAAAATGGTCGCATCAGGGCAATTTATCCTGTTCTTCTTATAAATGTTCAGTTAGTGAGGTGATACATAAGTGTTGCTGCTTACCGAGATACCCACCAACAAAATATCTCCTCGAAATAGTGTCTGGAGTAACAAGCAGCAGAATCTGTGAAGTTCGTGCTCTACTGTGAGTCCTGCGAGTCACCGAAAGGCAACTGTTTTCAGGGTTTATCCGAAAAACGCCGTTCCTGGTACCGAAGGGCAGTTTGACAAACTTTCGCCGAGCCAAATCGTAAATTATGGTGTTCCTTACGACTATGGCAGTGTAATGCACTACTCAAGCATTGTGAGTCACATTTTCGTTCACAGCGTCCAGAAAATGCCCATCAAGGCGTGAAGGGGAATCTCGTAGAGAAAGAAAGAGGAAGTAGGAATTAATTTACAGGCATTCTCTAGCAATTCTGTGGCGAAGACCGTTGTTCCTCTTCAACCACAGTATGAACATACCATCGGTAGCCGAGTGGAGCCGAAGTTTTCCTCGACTACAAAGAGCATGAACTTGGCGGTATTGGCTCGAGTGCGTTTTATTGATTTGTGATTATGGAATAGGATAGGATTATAGACAGGTGATAACCAGTTGGCATAAAACGAATTTTCCGGAATATTTCAAAACATTTCACCTTAACCAGGTTCGCGGTGTAAGGCGCATATACAGTAGTGGCCAGAAATTTATGAACAAACGGTTTTTTCATGATTTCTCTTTGAAAGTCACTGGAACGTCTCCAAATTTGCAACAATTATTAACTACGTGTTTTATGATCCACACAGAAAATTTCAACCTTCAGCTCAAATTTGGGTTTAGAAAATTTTAGATTTTTCGAAATTAATGAAGGCAGGTGAAAGATCACTTGATCCGTTTATTTGATTTAAATAATGTATAACCCAACAGAACAGTCAAGTAAACAGTCACTAACATTAAGCAAGTCTAGCACATTGCCCAGAACTCTCTAAAGTATTGGATACATAAACTGGGTTTAAGTGGGGGTCAATCAATGAACTCGCCCTCTAGTGGAGGTCTCCCTCTGTAGGCGCTTATTTTCGTGACTCTTTCATTGATGCGACTTTGTAGGTCCTCCCTAGTGGTTCTGTAATGTTTGGCTCAAGAGTCTGGCCTGGCTGGTCTTTTAAAAGCACCCCATGCTGTCGAAACCACTCCTGCATGTGAGAGGCCCGATGCTTTGAGTCGCTGCTCTGCTGACAGACAAAGCCAGGTCGTGTGGCAGCCATGTCTACGGATACATAACATCTTCTAGAATCTAAGTCTATACTACGTATTCCTTAGTTCTCAAAGTCTAAGAAGAGCGCTCGCTGTGAAGTGGGTGGGTAGAATGTGATTGACTAAGCCTGAAACGAAGGTTGATACAGGTTTCTAAGGTCATCTGGAATGACAAAAACATATTACTGATGCATGACAGCAAGGATACTAGTAATGTACGGCACCACGAGAGGGAACGTTTTGATCCAAAGAATCAGCTGCCAATTGTGAAACTTGGCGGAGGCTTGATAAGGTTGCCTTGGAAAAAAGTGGGACCACGCTACACGACTGAGGTAGCGATGAAGGCAGACGTTTGCTGTCATGTTTTGGAAGGTGTCATGTATCCGTAGACATGGCTGCCACACGACCTGGCTTTGTCTGTCAGCAGAGCAGCGACTCAAAGCATCGGGCCTCTCACATGCAGGAGTGGTTTCGACAGCATGGGGTGCTTTTAAAAGACCAGCCAGGCCAGACTCTTGAGCCAAACATTACAGAACCACTAGGGGAGGACCTACAAATTCGTATGTCAAAAAGAGCCACGAAAAGACGGGACTACAGAGAGAGACCCCACTAGAGAGTGAGTTCATTAGTTGACCCCGCATTCAAATCCAGTTTATGTATCCAATACTTTAGAGAGTTCTGGGCAATGTGCTAGACTTGCTTAATGTTAGTGACTGTTTACTTGACTGTTCTGTTGGGTTATACATTATTTAAATCAAATAAACGGATCAAGTGATCCTTTCACCTGGCGGGGGGGGGGGGGGGGGGGGGGGGGGGGGGGGGGGGGGCCCCCCCCCCCCCCCCCCCCCCCCCCCCCCCCCCCCCCCCCCCCCCCCCCCCCCCCCCCCCCCCCCCCCCCCCCCCCCCCCCCCCCCCCCCCCCCCCCCCCCCCCCCCCCCCCCCCCCCCCCCCCCCCCCCCCCGCACAAAAAAAATTTGGATAAAAAAAAAGAGTAATTGGGGGTGACGTGGGGTTGTTCGACACAAAAATCTAAAATTTTCTAAACCCAAATTTGAGCTGAAGGTTGAAATTTTCTGTGTGGATCATAAAACGTAGTTAATAATTGTTGCAAATTTGGAGACGTTGCAGTGACTTTCAAAAGAGAAATCATGAAAAAACCGTTTGTTCATAAATTTCTGGCCACTACTGTATGTTATAACTTCTTTTCGAGGTACGCCTCTCTGTCGCTTTCTCTACAGCCAAATCGGCCTGCGAGGAGTTGCGACGGCAGAATGGGGCCTTGCCCCTTTGCTAGGCACGTGGAGCGCGCGTACCGGTAGGATTGAGCGCTCCAGCGCAGCATGGATTATGGTGTAACCAAAAACCTGTTACTGATGAATCGTTCATTAGTTGATACCAGATTGATAATGACCACCGAAGGGCACGACGATATTTTGTTCGATGACCGCTTAAAAAGGTAAGATTTCGTCGGCGCCTTTTTGTGATCGGCAGTGCATTCTAAAAAATTTCTTTCTGCGTATTGGTATTTGAATGCGTCGTGGTCCCTGGCAAGGACTACAGGTCCAGCAATGTACATACTCAGCGTATTCATCCTTTCGAGGAAGCCTGATATAACTTTACCGAACTGCTGGACATAGGAAGACAAGGAAAAGCTTCGCTAGATCGCTCAATTTGAATGAGTTATGGATAGCGTTAGCAATAGCGCAACGGGAGTGGTCGGCACTCACAGTCAAAACGTCGTGGGATCGGTCCCTATCGTGTTTACTGTTTTCTATTCTTCAGAAATATAGCTAAACGGCTCTAAATAGAACTGAATTCCTGAAGAATGCAAAACAGTAATTACGATAAGGGACCGATCCTACGACGTTTTGACTGTGAGTCCCGACCACTACCGTTGCGCTGTTTTGCTTCATAACTCCATTCAGAGAATCGTTTAGCAGATTTGGAAGGTAGATTTGAGATCAGCGTTCGAAGGCACATCTAGTGGTATACATCTCTTCTTGAATGGCCATGGCGACCTGAGAGCCTTTCCTTGTTAAGTCGACCTGGACGAGCGTTTAATGCCGTATATTGCACTC